TCTAGACATACCTATGTATCTAACAAAGTTACATTCATCGAAGTTTCATTTTCTAGTATTCCGCAATACCCAAATGCCAATTCGCTAATGAAAGGAAAAGAATATACAATTGATTGTATCAAAATAGTGCACCACTTAAGCTGAAGTTATTTGAATGAAGTTGGTCCATGGAGTATGAAAACATACCATGTGGTTTCTTTACAAAAGTTCTTAAGGAACGTTAACCGTACATGTATTTACGACATAAAGCTCACAACAGGACGCACATGCAATGAAGTCTAATTCTTTTTAACACGTAAAGGAACAATGTAATTAGTTGAAGGGAAAAATAAAGAAAGTAACGAAATCAAATCCCTACCTGTCTCATTCAACTTCTCAAGAAGCAAATTGAGTTGCTCTTCAGTTTCTTTCTCCGTTTCCACTGCTTTCTTTAAATGGTCACGAAGTCGTTCTCCTAAATTTTTGGGAATAACGAAACATGGTGAAAAACAGCAAGATAACGATTGAGTTTACGAAAACATATCACAAATCGTTTATAATATGATATACTATGGTGATAACTGTATTTGTAAAACGTGAAGATTAACAGCTAAATTACCAAGGTTCGAAATTGACTTTTTAGCGTAATGCATCAAGAAGTCAGTTAATGTATCAACTCGGTGGGCTGGAGTCATTTCCTTCGTTATTTTTGCTGTTGGCCTCAAGTAAGACCACAGTCTCTCCATCACCTCGCCATCACTCATCCCGAACCCTTCCAGCCGTCTTCCACTGTAGTTGACCTGGCGTTACAAAAGACCAAACAAAGCTTCATGAAAACAATAACTGTTTTAGAGTAAGCATGCATGTGTTTTTCAATACCTTTCAACTCCTCAAAAGTGTTCAAAAGGAAAATATTTCAAAATACCTGACAAGAAACTTTGTGTCCATAGCAGTGAAATGCAGGTATCGCAAGAGTAACATTTTCAAGCAATGTTTCCTGGTGCGTATTCTACAGAGAAGATAAATTAAAAACAACAGGGCATCATTTAACAAGCAAAAATGCCAGAGTACCATGACCACAACTTAATTCAAATAAAACCGCTAAAAAATCTTACTCTCAAATGTGTATCCAGCACACATGCAATATCATAGAAGAAGCGAATGTTGATAGCTTAATCTTGCACATGATTTTTAATCCATTTTAGCAAATACACAGCATTTCCAATCCTGTTTAATAAAAATATAATCATTATTAGCCACAATGTCCATGCAGTAATTTATTTGTTCCCTAGTTTCATTGAGTACCCTAATAGAAATGGTGTATAAAACAGAGTTATGCTATACAGCAGTACGACTATCATATACAAATTCTTTCCTTAGGAACCTAAAAGTGACATGTCTCTTAATTTATGCATCCTACAAGGCACTCTGGTTACATATTTCTTAACAATAGCTGACCAATAATGTACAGATTTCCTTTTGCATGTACATACTCTTCTCCTCTCTTTAAGCTGAAAAACTTCAGTGGCACTTCGTGCTTGCAGCCTCCACCAAAGAGGGCTGTCTCATCGAGCTTTGTGGATTTGTTTTTGGAACGGAGATTGGAACCAGCTTGAAACTGATTACACTGCTCCTACAACAGAAAACATTTAACTCTTAATCTTCAACTTCCTTTCTACCTTTTCTTGAGATGTCATTTAAAGCAGAAGTATCAAAGATAAAAACAGAACAGGAATTAAGATCTATGTAGCATTCATGTACGTGTAGCATTCAAAGTAGATATGGGTTGTTGGAGGTGAACCCTCACATTAGAAATTAAACATTACATTATGGGAAAGGTGGCAAGGAAAATATTGGCAGAAAATAATAATCATTCATCAATTTCTCATAAAAATTTAAAAAATGGGACAACCAAATAAATTTACTGCTTGATAACAACCCCTCCTCTTTCATTCAGGCTTGAGACCAGCAAGAGTGACAGTAGACACCCTTGGCAGAGTTAGTTGTGTAAGCAAATACAAAGATATTACCTTTAAAGACCATAAATCAATTACAAAAAAAGAGGGAAAAAAACTGTATTTGAAAAAAAAATAAAAAATAAAAAATAGAAAAAGATCAAGGAAAAGAGGGGGCTGCAATAAAGATTATGTACTTGTTCTTGAAGCTGACAATTCACACAGTTCTTGTAAATTAAGTTTACAGAACAAACTAACAATATATTTGAGCTACATGTATTTTGGGCAGAATGTTACCAAAGTAATTAACCCTTCAAACTGTACCATATTTAAATTATTCAACACTAACATCATTATTACAAGTAACGAACATAATTGTTACTTTTGGTCTCTCATTGCAATGGTTGAGTAGTGGTATGAGTACTGATGGGTAACAAAAGGTTAGAGCAACGCAACAAAATACAAAGTAAGAGAAAAAGTCCTTTGGTTCACACACCATTGACTTACTGCTTGGTCTTTTGCTGTAATTAGCTAGAAATGTATCTACTTTTTCTTGGCTAATGAACAGTTCCTCTCCATGATTTGAGGACTTTCCACTAGTTCCAGCACTGCATTTGCGGACACATCCAAACAATGCATCAACAGAGATAAATAAACTTCCCTTCTCCTACAATCAGATGCCAAAATCTTATTAGAAATGTCATGTTAAAAATATTTCTTACGCCTAAATGAATGAAAAACAATGGAATAACTCATGCTAAGACCAGCTGCCACACTATGAGGACCACTAGGAAAAAGAGAGAATCATAAAGATTCAAAACAATGTTTCTTGTCTAAATTATATCATTCATTATGCCAACACATATAGTGATAGTCATTTGAGATTTCTAAAGGTAAATATTACCCACTTAGACATTTCATCTGAAGGATGACTTATCACAAACCTTAGGACATGCAGGACATTCATGATCATTCTCATAAGAAGGATTGAAATGCTTCAGGTTACTCAACATGCTAGACATATACCGGAACTCGCAGAAACAATCTCCAACAAGGAGCCGGTAGATGTCCTTAATCTAAAGGAAAACAAATAATTTATTTATTGTATAAATTAAGAAAATAAAAAGGAATTCATAAGCATAAGATAAAAAATTACTGAATGAATACTTACGTAAACCTTTGAAGCAGGTGGGACCAGCCACTGCAGTGCCTGACATATTGACCTTAAAGACACTCTACATTCTAAGAAAATGTATTGGAGCAAGGCCATAAATTCAAGGTCAAAGGCTACCTGGGGCTGTTTTGGAGTAAATGGCCAGAAACCATTCCTGACCAGCATTATGGCTTCTGGTTCATGCTCGCAACATTTGATTTTGATGGGATTCTGCTGCCCTGTATAAAGACAAACACCATAGAGTGTCCATAGTCGTATTCTTCTATAATAATTGTTTATTAATTCCTGTCTGTGTTGAAAAAAACAATTAAAACACAAACAAAGACCTTCCTGGAAGAGGTAACCTAACTATTTAAATATAAGTATAAGTAAAAAGTAGTACTAATAATTGCAGACTGGCAACCTATCTCACAATATAGTTACATATTGCACAGCTGCTAGTTACTTACCATGCAAACCGACAGCTATAATGTCACGCACATATCCATGATCCATGTTGTGAGGTGTGGTCCATACACACTCACCAAACTGATATGGCACAAATCTTCCATCCTAAGAGCATAAAATATCCTACATGAATCAGGTGAATACAAATCACACACCATTTAAATCAGCCAACTCTTTCAAAATTGCCAAAAATAAACTTTACTTTGTTCTGAGTATAGCAAATTACATGTATGCTTGCAAGAAAAAATTATCCTTACTGCTTTCGCTTTTTCCTCTGTATAAAAATGGGTCAGGTCTCATTGACATAATGCACATTGAAGTTGAGAAAAAACTACATCAAGTGAAGTAATTGAATAGAGGTGATATATGGAGTTGTAAGAAAAAAAAGATGGATATCTCTGCAATTAAACCACAAGACAACGTACTTACAAATGAAATTGCCTAACGGCCAGAGTACACAAGAAATCGGGTTTCACAACATAATTGAAAAGGTGACTGGAGGAGATTGTCCTCCATAAATCTTCAACTCACTTTCCAAACTTCCGGGTGGTGAAGTGATCTACCGCCTGCGTGAACTAAATTGATGTGATCTGCGCATAGGAATTGCCCTGGACTGCAGTGAAGGCATCTGCCGCACGCCTCTTCTTCGCAAAAAGGAATGACACACATCTGCCCCAAAGGCAAAGCCTGTCTGGTCAACAGCGCTGAGACGAGCTTCTCTCTCGCATTGAGCCAAGACAAAGCCAGCGTGGCTTTCCTCTCATGGTAAGCTTTTAACTTGCGCTTCAGTCGCACTTTTTTACTTTTAGATCTTTGGTTGGTTCTCAAACCATGATATTCGTCAATATGGGGAAGGTCTTCTTGGTCTGGAGAAAAACCGCCGCACGTGTTTAGAGAAGATCCGGCGACTACAGACGTTGTATCAGTTAATTGCTGGGCGGCATATCGAACTGGAACACTAAACTTCGACTTTCTTATAGCTTTTCCTCCTTTAAAAGTAACTACATTCAAACTTTTTTTCGACCTAAAATCGCGTTTAGGAGGCATAATGGTATCCAAAGCTTTTCCAAAGCCGCGTTTCAAGGGTTCGCAGGCTATGGCACCAGGCCTTGAGTCCTTTCAGGTCTCGATAGGTAAATAGGCCCTACTTTGACCGCTTGTATGCGTTAATTTGATTCTAATTAAATCCGCATGTAAGCGGTTAATTATGAGCGAATCGGGTAAATAAAGATGGCGGATAAGGCTAAACGAAGATTTACCTGAAATAACGAGCTTAATGGGAAAAGATTACAGAAGAATCTCGGGCTTAGCGAAGCCTCTTGTGGAATGAAAAACAGAGGTGAGAGTTTACTAGGCACATTGTGTTCACTACGCCTTAGTAGTACGGGTAGTTAACGCAAGTAAGTACGTTTTAACAAAGTCAAGTTCAAGATTGCACAAGACTTGGCTATGAAATGCCGGTACATGTAGCTGCAAGGGGTTGTGGCTACCGACTTTTCCGGTTTATACGCAGATTTCTTTTTCTTAGCATTGCTCGTATCAATTTAAACCGTGACGAATTACCTAATAGGAAAGTTATTTGAAACCTACCAAAAAAAGATGACATCGAAGGCACGTGAGGTTTGGTTAATTGTTTATTTTTAACTGAGCGTACCTAATGCTAAGGATTTACGTATATTTTTCTCCTCGGCAAAATAGCGATTACATGTAGTTGCTGCTTTAAATGAATTCTTCAGGACAAATTTATCATCGGGTTCTTTTTTATTATTTCTTGTCTTGTTTTGCTTTGTTTTGTTTCTATTTACCCTCCAGCATAATGCAACTTGTGATTAAATCAACCAAATGCAGAATATATTCTTTGTTTCCCCACTAAAATGAAACAAACAAAAGTTTAGTGAAAGTCTCATTTTTTTGATGACAGCTCAGCAAATGATCACAGTGTGATAAATGTGTGATAAAAGTGTCCCTAAAGATCAGCCACATGTCAGCTGTTAAAGCACAAAGGGAAGATTTGTTTGTTGCTGCACTTTGGGATCACAGAGAGTAACTTAACTGTTCAATAAGTGTCTTCTTCTGAATTTCAAATTTGGCAAAGGTTACAATTTTGCTCCCTAATGTGACTTACTCAAAGAATAAAAAAGGAAACTATAAGAAATAAATTAAAAGCACTGTTGCTGCAAAAAATCACGTTTGACATAATTTATTTAAAATTTATAGATTTTTTCTATCCATTTCATTTTCATTAAGCCTTCATCAATTTTCTAATAAGCTGAGAGGTTTATATTATGAATTATATTCAGCTACCCTCTATTTATACCAAATGGAGGCTATGTTCATTATCCCTCAATATTTTTCAACATGCGGGAAAATTGTTTATGCTTACTGTTGATGGTGTGGGAGGTTTACTTTTCAGTGTCCTCTGAAATGATTTTATGAACAAAAGATACATGTTCCTTCTTCTATAACAACCTCACAATTAATGCTTTTCACCTTTAATTAACCTTAAAAGTGACCAAGACAGAATTTCTCTTAAGAATATTAATACATTATCAAGCAGACAAGTGATGAGAATAAAGAAGAATATTAATTAGGGGATTATTCGTTGATCCAAAAACAAATTCTCCAAACTAACATCACAAGAACTGTATGGGAGAGAGTACAGAGAATTACTAATGAGATCTTGGGAGTTTTAAACACAGAGTTTTCCATATTTAAAAGTCAATTAGTTATCACTTCAGGTACATGTTGGAATTCACCCATTTTTCTGTCATGTAAAAGATTTGGTTGCAAAAGCTTAATGGAATTTATTGATCATGAGTAATTTATTGTTTGTAACTGGTGTACCTTTGGTGGGGCTGGTTTCTGGGCTTGTTTGAGGTTGCTGATGTATTTTTAGTATAATGTGTGATGTTGTGATTAAAATTTTTCAACAAAGACAGGGAAATTAGGCCACTGCAAAATACAAGAAACCAAATTGCTGTTTTTGCCTCTGATTGGTTTTTTAGATAGTGCTAATATTTTAGCCAATGCAGACCAGTCATGAAATGTTCCAATTTTAGATTGTTTTAGGCCAATTAAATTTATAGATAGCACTGTGTATGATGAATAAAAAGATCTTTACGGTGTTCAAATCTGTTCCAAATTGTCTCCTCTTAGCCAACCATCTGAGATCTTGACCCTTTTACTTTCAAGATCCATTTTGACTTCCCTTACACAGTTTGTTTTAAGTATTGAGAATTCTATTAGATTGTGTTAATAAACCCTGTGAAAAAAAGTTCTTGTAGATATTTATTTTCTTAATGATTAATATTTTTATTCATCTTTTCAAAATAGCCATTAGTTACTGCTTTATTTGGTCAAATTTATGGAAGCTGTGAACTTGTGATTAAGTCAATTAAATGCAATATTCTGTTTTAAAATAATTTAGTGAAAGCGAGGTAAGCATGATCACATGTGATAAATGTGTGATAAAAGTGTCCCTAAAGATCAGCCACATTTCAAAGCACAAAAGGGAACATTTGTTTGTTGCTGCACTTTGGGAACAGAGAGTAACTTAACTTTCAATAAGTGTCTTCTTCTGAATTTCAAATTTGGCAAAGGGTACAATTTTGTTCCCTAATGTGAATTACTTAAAGAATAAAAAAGGAAACTATAAGAAATAAATTAAAAGCACTGTTGCTGCAAAAAATCACATTTGACATAATTTATTTAAAATTTATAGATTTTTTCTATCCATTTCATTTTCATTAAGCCTTCATCAATTTTCTAATAAGCTGAGAGGTTTATATTATGAATTATATTCAGCTACCCTCTATTTATACCAAATGGAGGCTGTTATGTTTATTATCCCTCAATATTTTTCAACATGCGGGAAAATTGTTTGTGAACAGCTTACTGTTGATGGTGTGGGAGGTTTACTTTTCAGTGTCCTCTGAAATGATTTTATGGACAAAAGATACATGTTCCTTCTTCTATAACAACCACACAATTAATGCTTTTCATCTTTAATTAACCTTTTAACTCCCATGAGTGACCAAGACAGAATTTCTCCTTAGAATAGTAATACATTATCAAGCAGACAAGTGGTGAGAGTTAAGAAGAATATTAATTAGGGGATTATTAGTTGATCCAAAAACAAACTCTCCAAACTAACATCACAAGAACTGTATGGGAGAGATTATAGAGAATTACTAATGAGATCTTGGGAGTTTTAAACACAGAGTTTTCCATATTGGACATAAGGTTGGAAAATTAGGGAATATCACTTCAGGTACAGTGTTGGATATCCCCCAGTTTTCTGTCATGTAATGGGTTTAGACCGGTTGCCTTAACTAGCAAATAAATTTGTTGGATTATAATGGAATTTATTGATCATGAGTAATTTATTGTAAAAGTGAGGTTGCTGATGTATTTTTAGTATAATGTGTGATGTTGTGATTAAAATATGAAAAAAGAAGGGGAAAAAAACAGAGATAAACAAAGACAGAAACCAACTTAGGCCACTGCAAAATACAAGAAACCAAATTGCTGTTTTTGCCTCTGATTGGTTGATTAGATAGTGCTAATATTTTAGCCAATCACAGACCAGTCATGGAAAAGCTTAGTTCCAATATTAGATTGTTTTAGGCCCAATTAAATTTATAGATAGCACTGTGTATGATGAATAAAAAGATCATTACAGCATTCAAATCTGTCCCAAATTGTCTCCTCTTAGCCAACCAGCTGAAATCTTGACCCTTTTACTTTCAAGATCCAAGAATTGACTCACTCAATTGAAAACCTTACTCAGTTTGTTTTAAGTATTGAGAATATGCCTGAGATTGTGTTAATGTTCAACCAAAAGGTTCTTGTCAGATATCTTATTTTCTTAATGATTATATTTTTATTAATTTTTTCAGGCCCTTCTTTATGGAAGCTGTGTGTCTCAGAACGACAACATAACCAAGCATGCCTGTGATAAGGAGTTTCAAGCACTTAAAGCCTGCATAAGACAAGCAGTAAGTTTTCTGGGAGACTGGTCAGGGTCTCTTTTCTTTCTGTGTTTAATTAGCTTGGATATCATGTTAGATTTTAAACCACAAACTTCAGTTATCATGACAAGATAGTCATTTGAAGATGGGCACAAAAGTGTCCTTTCAGGGAATGGGGTGATTAAAATAGAAAGGTTTGGCTTTTTTGTGCAGCACTTTCTTTGTTAGAAATGTCCATAGTTTCTTTCAGCTAGTAATTTGTTAAACACAAGGAGTTAATGACTGGCTTCAAGGGATAAAGTGAGTTTTCTTTTCCCAAGGCCCTCAAATGTTCCTTGAACTGGAGCCGAAGGCAACAATTAGGGTAAAATGAAAAATGTCTCTGGGTTGGGAGGTATAACATTGCAATTTTAAACAATTGCAAAAGCATTTGGAGTACTTACATACTTAAACATGTACTCTCAAACTAACTCTTACACTCTCAAATGAGTCAGCTTTAATCAGAATTAATCAGGTTCATCCTTTCATCAGTGGGAACTGTCCTACAGTGAGAGAGGGATGGGGTTTAACTTTTCATTGTCAAATTGTTGGTGTCATTTTTCGTTAATTTCGCTCTGATTTTAATTAACAGTCATCAACAAAAATTAGGGACTCAAGATAAATAAGAGACTACAGCAAGTCACTTAGACATAGGAATGCTGTGCTTTTTCTACTTAAATTTAAATACTTCTTACCTATAATAATGTAATAATAATCATTAGATACTGAAACAAAATGTTTCATTCCTGATTAGTCTATTGTGAATGAATTGAAAAATAAGTTATTGAGTGCAATACACTGACTTGAAATTAAAACTTTTAAAGATAACTTAACAACACTAAACTCTTTAGTAGTTTAAAGAAAACATTTAAATTTGATGTGTCCATCACTGTCTACATTTTAATGAATGATCAAATCAAACAATATAATTATCTTAAGGCATTTTCCAACAGGTTGAAAATGTTTTTTTAGAAATGTGCACCAGGAAATTGGACAAAGAGTAGTATTTGTATGAGGTTTTGTTTAGAACATATCATGCATAAAAGCATATCAAACAGCTCTGACATTTCATAATTTATAGTGACTCGTTATATGTTTTGAAAGTTTTTCAAACTGTACTCCAATGGCTAGTTCATTTAACAAAACTTTCTAAACATCACTGATGCCTTTGAATTAAGAGATGTACTTGACCTCATGTAACTGTTATGCTGTCACATACATTTCCCATCTGCTCCCCTGTGCTCACATGTGTCAATTCCTGCAAGAACACACTGTTAGCCAAGGAAATCATAGAAGCACAATGATATTTTTTAATCCTTAATCTATACACATGCATTCCCTATTGTCTGTTTTTAACCCTTTACACTCTAACATCAATATATATGCATATTCTCCATACTTTTCTCTGTGTTCTGACAAGGAGAATTTGCTCAACAGTCAAAAGCTTTTTTTTTTTTGACAAGGAGAATTTGCTCAACAATCAAGGTATTTTTTGTCAGTGGTTTAATTTATGGATGACATTTGCAAGGCAAAACTAGTTTGTAGTCACTATCTGGGGTTTTAGGATTAGACAAAGGTAATAATCAAATTATAGAAAAACTGGTGTGCCTGGCCTTTTTGTTTACCTTATGAGAAGATGTTAGTAAAATAGGGATTCTTATCAAATATTATCATGTAATATTTTATATTTTTATCTCTCTTAAGTTTTCTCATTGTTTGATGATGCATTTTTGTTGCAGGCAAAGAAAATTAAAGTGTAGAGACTTGAAAAGAGAGAACAACTGCACCTATTGCAGGAAAGTTCTGAAACAGGACGTCACAGGCAACCTACTCACTTTTTGCGTGGGGTAACAATATTATAAGAGGAGACATTTAGGCTTGTGAAAACTGATAAAAAGAATGTCTCTGTCGGTAAATATATAAATACGGTAAACTGCTGCTTATAAGTGCCCTCTCCTCCCCCCTCCCCTTTTTATTTATAAGTCCTCGGTTAAAGGCTCATCTAACTTTAAACAAAACAAAAAAAAAGCATCAAATTATAAGCTCCCCCCGATATAAGCCCTGTTCTAGCTTTTCTTGTTTCTACAATACCAAAGTAGGAAAAGCCTCAGTGCTGTGACTTGGACATAGAAATTTTAATGATAGAAGAGCAAAGATGAACTTTTGAGAGAAAAGTCTGTTTTCTCAGTTTTGCTACGTACCAGTTTTCTTCATGTTGCTAGTTTTTATTCTGTGCCAAATGTATTGAAACTAATTTGATTTATTATGACGTTTTGAATCTTAATGAAAAACGAGTAAATAAAAAACGTATTTTGATCAGCACTGCACTAGCCTTTTCTATTCCGGTTACACGTCCCCACGGCTATAGGTCCCCTCTGTTAATAAGCCCTCCTAAAACCCCTTACGAAGTTGTATAACCCCTGAGCTTATAATCGGCAGGTTTGTTTGTGTTGTGGAACTTTAAGGATTTGCCTCAGAAGGAATGGTGCTATTCTTAACTCAAAATTTTGATTCCGTTTTGATTGACGTATAAAATCGAATAGAGACGTCGGCGAGTTGGTCTTCAATCCAGTACAACTTATTAGAAGTTGAACATATAGAAAAGTGAAATATCTTTAGTAAAAAAACAATTTTGTTTTTTTTTGTATAAGGATTTCATGGCGAATAAAGCAAGGTAAACATCGCCAATTACTATAAAAGCTTCAGTCGCGAACGAGTTAAATTCTCAACGTTTCCTCTCGTAACTTAACACCGGGTCACACAATGCGTGACGCTTTCATGAATCAATCGCTTGCTTTTTCTCATGACGTGAGCTCGGGACGCCTGTGCGTAAAGATATTTACATAATTGCTGAGGCGCATTCTGCCAGCATGGGTTAACTGTGCCTACATTGCTTATTTCTTCTTCTTCTTCTTCTTCTTCTTCCGAGTCAGTTCTCAGGTCGCCGTTAAAATTAATATTCATGTCTAATCCATATCGGGGTATTTTTTAAAATAATTGCAAGTGTCAGTTTCCTTTGAAGCCTACAAACAAAATGAGTTGCTTTCAAATTCGTGTTGTGGAGGTTCCTGACTGCATAGCAAAAATTCAAATAGCCTCCCTTTGTTAAAAATGGTTGTTCGGTTGGCTGATGAAGCTTATTTTCCTCGTGTGACAGGCATGTCACGTCGGCGAAGGATAAATTAACGCGCGCAAAATAATGCAAAGGTTTGATAGCGGAAATTTGTTTCCTTTTTTTTTTTTTTTAATTGGTTTAGCTGGCCAAGAATAAAGACAACGACTTTTTCAGTATTAATTTCCTAAAGAACAACATAGGTTACGTTTTTCAGCTAATTGTTGTACGCGTGACTTAAACGCATCACGCGATTAAAATTATTGTCTTAGCTCTGAATTTATTTACAACAACGCTTAACAGCAGCTGTAAAAACCTTTACTTTTCTGTGTATTTATTCTCTGCTGCTTATGTGGATAAATGCGATCAGGCTCTGAAAGTGTAAAGGGACAATCAATATTCAGGTACTTAATGTAATAGCCTTAACCCTTAGTAGTCAATTATTTTATCCTTCTTGCAGCAAAATTGTTAATTTAAAGACGGTGAGCAATTTTTTCGGTGTATCGCAAAATAACTTCATTTGCGGTACATATGTCGATTCTGTTGATGAATACGTGTTTGCTTTGCGCTCTAATGGAATATTTATTCTTCACTATTTATCTCTGGAACGTATAGTCTGTTATTCGATCCATCTAGTTTCTTTAGGTTGTGTGATATCACCGAAAAATGAACTGTACAATGAACTTTCTTAGTGCTGTCAAATCAAAGAAAACATAGCACTTCGGTAAAACTGATCAAAATTAATTTTCTCTCTATAAACATTACTACAATGTCGTGTAAACTGCTGACGAGAATCAAAAACAATCAACTTGTTAAAATGTCCAAATGCTTAGCGAAACACATCGAGATTTAGTGGTAAGATCTTCGGATTTCAGATGGAAAAATCTGCATGGGAGCGTCCACTTTGAATTGTTGTTTTACATTTAATATATAACAACAACAAAAAAGAGGAAAAATTGGCGATTAGTTCGTAAAACCAAAAATTTGAAAGTCAAATGAAAACTGAGTTGGAGACAAGAAGCAGTCAGCTTGTGGATGATGCGGGTTCTAAAAATTACTAATATTCCATTTTTTTTTCTCGTCGACATGAGCCTTTCTTTCCTCAGCATCAATGAAAAAATAGAAAAAAAGAAAAAACATTCTTTGTCCACATGCTCTTTAGGAAGACGTAATAACTACTAGAGTTTCAATAACTTTTAGTCTATAAATAACTTCCCTAGCCTATAACTGTTTACTTCCAAACAATAAATTCTTAATTCTCTAAACCATACCGGAGCTTTCTCAGGAAAGAGGGTAGTGGGAAAAACGCGATTCATCAAATCCCTTGTTCCTTTTTCAACGAGTGATGATAAGAATGCTCGTCCTCTGGCTAGGTATTAAAAATAGGTCCGCAATGCGTACATGTGTGGCTCACGAAATTTAGCTGCTTTTTGTCTCATTGGGTTTCTATTAGAAGAGCTAATATCTGATTACCATTAGATAGTTTTCAATATTAATCCTGTTCATTAATAACACAAGATAACTAGCATACAAAAGTCCCGAAATGTTCATTCTGAAGATGAGTTATTGGCCAAACTTTGGTTTGGAGGTCTCATTTTGACAACAAATGTTGCACATGTAACCCGAGGATTTTAGGAACTGAAAAAACATCAGCATAATCTTCCATAGTGATCTGAGAGATTCAGTCACGATTATGTTTACGTAACAGTGGAATTGACTTCTGAAGTTTGTTGGTTGCTTGTCTTTTCCAAGGCAAGTGATGTGAAATAAACTCTAGGGAAGAATTTCATATGAATATTTTTGACATTTTGTGTACCAGTACACAAGGACAAAACTTTGTAGAAGGGCAGGGACATTCGGGAAATGATGTAATCTAAACTAGAAGCTATTGGGAGCTTGTTTGGTTTGAATGTGTGACTAATTTTGGACAATATATACATGTAAAGTAACACAATGCTGAGTGTAGGTTTCTTTTGTCCATTAGGGTATAAAGTTCAACTTTCAGTTGGTTGAGAGCAAAACGTTTACTATAATTATTGTATTTAGGTTTTGTGGGACTGTATTTTCAATAAAGAATACAGAAAAATTTAGTTGAGGTAGGTAGATATGAGGTTGCAAATGGAAGAGTCTAGGGAAAAAAGATAGGTGCATTACAAGATCAGAACACAAGCAATATTTTAATGTATCATATGTTGAGTTAAGTACTCTGAAGTAACATTACATTAACGTTGCTAATAATTTTTAACCCAATACCTGGAGGTTTTATTTAACAGAAAGTTCAATAGAGATAGTGTCACCATAATAGATTTCAGGAACAGTAATCAGAGACATAACTTAAACACAGCAGAGCAATGTACAGGCAAGTGCATGATGGTATCATATGATTTAAACTACCAGAAGCTTTCAAGTTTTCTTATTATTGAAATTGTAATTTCATGCCAGTGAGTCTACCAAATTCAAGTTATGGGGAAAAATGAATAGGTGAACCTTGACATCATCATGCAAATGGTCAACTTCACATCATCATGCAAAGTGCTAATCTACCGTACAAAAAGGTCCAAAACAAACATGGTAAGCAACTGAACTTCATGTATCACTTTGTGTTAGAGCACACAAGAGGACGTGTGAGACCTGCTTCACTCTCATTTGCTAGAACAAGATTGAATTTCTGGTACCAATCAAAATTCAGAATGACTGTGACAGTTTGGAACTGATCTGTTAAGACTGTGCTTTTAAGGGGTCTACAGATGTGATAAGAACCCTGGGTCTCCGAGGATACCTGATGGCTAACTTTTAACTATAAACGTAACAAATGTCAGTTCCATCGAACTGTCTTCATAAAAACTCAACAAAGTCTAAGCTACATGTAAGTTAATTAAAGTGTACTTTGGTATTCTAAATAAGCAGAAGTAAATTTTTCACAAACAACAAATGTTGAGCTCATAGCATGTGTGCAGTTTAAAGTATTTGAAAAATTTAAAAGTGCTTATCATATGAGAAATCATGTTATTAATTATTCATAATGTATACGTGAAAGATACACATTCACAGGAAATCAACAAACTGATGGCAGATAAATTTGACAGTATTGACTAAATGAAGTGTGTGCCATCAAAATTTGTCCTTCAGCTGAATTCTTGCTCAGGAACGCAATTTTGTTAGTGTTTATCAATATACATAAAAGTATCCAAGCTTTTGTTTATTTTTGTCAGCTACAGCATGTATCAATCAGAACAACCTACTTTGTGTAAATCTCATTGGTTTCTCATGTGATCTATTATTGCTGAGCCTAGTTTATATTATTTTGTACATGAGTTATTACTTTTTCACTGATGATAAATGAAAAAGGCACCTAGCTATTTTCAGCTAATCAAAAAAGTGTAATTTTTCATGTATATCAGTATTGTGATGAATTCACCAAACCAAACAAAAAACTGAAAAGGAGGTGTAGTCTACCAAATAAAGGCCTAATACACATGTATTGCTACCAAGTATAGATACCAATGCTTATCTGAACCATTATGAAGAGAATCTAGAAGACTGCCAAGCTTGAAGGAAGTCATGAAATGTTAAGGTCTGAATAATTCTGGCCATAACTTGGAAAACATAACACTAATCACATTTCAGTTAACATTAAAGCACTAGGCTCCTATTCATATTTTAATAAAAGCGAAACCACTTTGTTACTGAATTCCAATAGATTACTCCCCAAAGTTTGGAATCAATCACAATAGACATTTAGCACCATGTTAATGACAAACTGCAGTTTCAGGTTAGGCGTTAGACGTTTGTGACTTTTATTGGTTTAGCTATGTAAACATGAAAGTATAATTTCATTTAAAGGGGCCGTCAAATCGAATTGCCAGACAACAGCAGTGTCTGATTTTCTAATGGCAACAAAAAAGTCCTATTTTCACTCACTGGCTAAAAATTGTTTATTCTATTTGTATTCAATGACATGTAATGCCATGGGGTGGCAGGGTATTCTGCAGTTTAACCAAAATTTTATCTTAGCATTTACTAAAAAGACTGGTTGAGTAATTTTCTCACTGAGCATGTGGCATAAACAGAAATTCAGGATAAAAAACATTCCAGTAAATGACTTACGTGAAATGTGACCGCATAGAGAGTCAATAATGACTCCCAAGTTTCAATGTGGCACAACCTGCACTAAAGGTCCAGACCGTGAAATGTTGGCCTGTGAGAGCACAACTCCACGCTGTAATCCACTTAGAAGACAAGCCGACTGTAGGAAAGCCGGCGTGTGTGGCGTGTCTAGCAAACAATCATTTTTCTTTTTCTTCTGGCATTTCAGTTAGAGACTTTTGCTTCCTTTTCATATGTTGTGTTTGGTTTCTTTTATTTCTGAAAGGCAAATGTTCAATTTTTGGACTCTCGTGAACATTTTGCAAATCAAGTTCATTATCTCTGACAAAGACACCTTTAATTTCAAAAGGAACAACCCCTATTTGTA